GGTGTGGGGATAAATTTAAAAATGTGAAGAATCTAAAATATTACCCTAAAACAAATATTGTACTTCATAATGAAATTGTTAATAATGAAATTGTTAATGAATGGTTAAGAATGTGGATACTTAAGATAGTCTGTGTGGATTCAAATCTAGCTTCTCTTGATTCAAGTTGTGTGATCACAGGCAAATAACTTCACCATTTTACCTCAAATTTCTGCATCTGTAGAGTTCAACATTTCTAACTACTGTGGTCAAAGTCATTATTAAATATGATAATAAATGTAAAATGATTTACCACATATTAAGTGCTCAATAAAATGTAATATAAATGTATGGAAAGATTAGTTAACAATACAAAAATACAGAATGTATAAGCTAAATTTACAAAAGTACCCATCCCTTCAAAAAATCAGAAAGATGTCAAATATTATACAAACATCTGATTATATTTTCAAACTAATCTTACTTTTGTAAATGTCTGTGGTTTATTGCAAGTCAGTTGGCATTTGTGATTCAGAATAAAGTGGAAAATGATATGTACTTTTTCTCTCTTCTAGTTCCAATTTTTTTGAGAAAGCAAAGGACCTCTGAACACAAAGGCTCCCATGGAGCTTCTCTTGCATTCATTCCTTAGTTTCACAGCTTGAAAACAATGTAAGATTAAGAATAAATCGTTATATCCTTGCTTAGAGACACTGCAACATTAATTAAAAGAGCAGAAATCATCCCTGAAGGCTGCTTCATTTCTTCTGCTTCTGCCTTCTTCAGCTTTGACTCCGGATTCCCTGCAGGTCACACCAGCAGGTTCATTCCACCTGTCCCCAAACTGACTTAACAGAGGCAGAACCTAAATAAACAACAACAACCATATCTTTGCTTTCTTTCTCTCTGTCTGGGCTGGAAAGATCTACTGATCCCTCACCTTGGTCTCCTTACCTCTCTGCCAACCTTCTGTGATTTCTGAGCACAAAAAAGAGAAAACATGAGTGTACCATCCCTGCACCTACCTATTTTAATCCAATGGCCCTCAAATCTAAGAGCTTATCACAATCACTCTTGCAGTTTTTCAGAACAGACATCTCAGAATCTACTCCAGAACTGCTGAATCAGATACTCAGAGCTGAAGTCCGTATGTCGGTATGTTTAAAAAATAACCTACCACTGTCCTAAATTTACCTCCCTGGAAGCAAACACTGGACACATCCAAATATCTGGATTTCTGCTTAGATATCTTTAACTTCTGCCCTTCTTTTATAGTAACTGCCATTTCACTATCACCAACCCCACTATTGAAGACTAAACTCCAGCCCTGAACTCCAGCCCC